CATAAAGAGTCGCCTATAAAGAGACAGGGCTTATCTCAGGCACCACCTCCCTCCTTTCCTTCTTCTTTAATCTTCTAGGGAAGTTGAGAACATAAAAGGAGAGATGTTTCTCCCTAAGTGAGCATATGTTAGCATCGTACCCTTTAACATTACAGGTGACCCTATGAGGAACCGCCACACTAAAGTAGGTTTAAACTTCCCAGATGGCTGCATCCTTGACATACAAACAAAGCAAACTAGGTCAGTTTCACAGACGTATGACCAGTGCAGTCCACTCCATGCTCACAAGAGGACCTAGGCTTGGCGTATGCTCTGCAATGGCCATGCTGAAATTCTTTGAGTTTGAGTTTTGTATGTAAGAGTCAATAGCACACTGCAGTACTCACTGGAGAGTGGACATGTCAGCTTACAACCGATCCTGACTCCCACCGCACCCTCACCTCTCCAGGACAGGTTCTCGCCGCCCATTCCCCCATCACCAGCACCCCAGGCCCCACTGGCCTTCTGCTCACCACCTCCCATCACATGATCCCTGCCCACTATGATCCCTGCAGGAACCTGGGCATGGGTGTAGGGAAGATCAGGGTTGGCCATATGCATGTCCTACAGCATCCCATGGTATGGTTGTGTCTGTCCCCATTCCATGCTAGTAGCATCATGGCGTGTTTGGTGGGTGGCCAGCCCGATTCTGAGACACTGGAATGGCACACCCACTGAGGAGGTTGCAATACACCTGGGAGCTGCCCATCTGCTGGGGGCAGGAGGAGCTGGCCTACGAAGGGGAAGCACCTGGCTCAACTTCCAGAGGACGTGTGCCAGGCAAGAGTACAATCCCTGGGTGCAGCAGCAGGCAAAAGAGGGGACCTGGCCAGCATCATGCCTGAGCGCATGTGTCTGAGCCCAAGGCCCTAGGTGCCTGTGAGACATGAGTGTTCCCTGGGCACACCCCAAAGCCTTGGGGGAGCCTTCTCTTCCTGCTTCCACCATTCCCGAGTCTGGCCTGTTGGACCCTCTGGCCATTTCAGGGCTCCCTCCAGGAATTAAGTGCTCTGATATTTGCGTGTAAAACTGGCATTGCACAATATAAAGAAGAGTTAGTGTCATGCTAATAATTAAACTTTTAAATTTTCTTTACTGAGAACTACATGGGATAGGAAATTTAAAACACCATGACTAGTTAAGAGAAGCAAGTGGCAAAAGAAAGAAAACGTTTTATATCTTATTTCCTTGGACAAACACTTTTTTTCTTGCTGAGTAAGAGGCCCCATGTTTTTATTTTGCACCAGGCCCTGAAAATTAGGTAGTCAGTCCTGAAGTAAATTATCCAGCTAACCAACAAAATCTTAAAAATAGAAACAAAACCAAAAGCTAGAAGCCATCCTCAGTGATAACCCAGCTAAACAGTCAATGAACTGTGTGATGAGCCAACTTTTCAAGACCTCTGAGTTCTTCTCTAATTTAGTAGCTGCCTTCTAGGAGGGTTGTGGGGATTAAAAGAATAGTACTTGTAAAATACCCAGAAGAGTGGCTGCTCCTTAGTAATCTTCCGGGTAGCGCTAGCTGCTGTATTACCATCACGTGCATGACCCCAACATGTTTTGCATCCTGATTGCATCTTGCAGGGCAGGTGTTTCTCTCCGCCACCGGGCACATGAAGGGTTGACATTCAGGAAGGTGGCGTGATGCACCCAAGCTACCCATCTGCGAACAGCAGAGCCTGGGTGTAGAGCAGATCTGCCCAGCCCCAAAGCCCAGTTCCCTGCTCCATACCTCACAGACCCATAGCTCCTCTTCACTCTACTAACTGCACTTATGTATTCTATTTGTGAGCCTGAAATAGCTCCGTGCCAAATGCCCTGGACAAAGCACCCTGGAGCCAGGTACTGACATTTCAGGAGATGCTAACATGCACTGTTTCTTTTCGTGAATGAAGGGCAGCATTCAGTAGTGAAACGATGGGGTTTCCATCCCATCTCCCTTTCTTCCTTTCCAGGTCGGAGCAGTGTCGGATTACTCAGGTACCCCTGGTCTGCACTCCCACGCCCGTGCCTCAGTACTGAGTCCCTTGTGTTTTTGGGCGTGGTTGACAGCCACTGTGCGCAGGTGGGGCAGAAGCAGCCTGCAGACCTGGAGGTGTCAGGTGTGAACATCTACCCACCGCTTTTCTGTCTTGTTGCTGAAGGGCTGGCCAGTGGAGGACAGTGGGGACAACTGGGACACAGACTATGAGACAACAGCTTCCGCTGCAGGCCTATGACAGCAGGTCACTGACCCAGGGAATCTGCGTCACTGCCTACCCCATGAGTGCATAGGTTGCGCTCTCCTGAGGCAAGGCCTGATAGCTTTCATACTTGAGAGTCCACATGCCTGGCGGGCATCCAGGCTGGAGGCCACGCAAGCTTCTTCCATCCTTAAACACAGCCTGAAACCATGCAAGAGAAGATGGAAACACGCACCTGCTCCACAGACAGCTTTATGGGTGGGCTCATTAGCAGAAGTTGGGGGGGTGACCCTGTAGGAAAGGGCTCTTCCTAAGACTTCCTGTAGCCCAGCCTTTATAAATAGACTAATAAACATCACATGCAGTGTCATGAGTTGTCTGCAGACTGATTTCTCTACCTTCCTTTCTTTTTTTTTTTTTTTTTTGAGACAGAGTCTTGCTCTGTCACCCAGGCTGGAGTGCAGTGGTGTGATCTCGGCTTACTGCAACCACTGCCTCCCGGGTTCAAGGATTCTCCTGCCTCAGCCTCCTGAGTAGCTGGGACAACAAGCATGCACCACTACACTGGGCTAATTTTTTGTAGAGACGGGATTTCACGTTGGTCAGGCTGGTCTCGAACTCCTGACCTCAAATGATCCGTCCGCCTTGGCCTCCCAAAGTGCAGGGATTACAGGCATGAGCCATTGCGCCCGGCCCATGTTCCTTCTAATTTTATATATATGGCAAGCGGTGGGGAACAGGGAAGCTTGGGGTTTTATAAGGAGAATGTGTTGCTGTCTTTTCAGATCTTAAAAAAGCTTAATCCCTGCAATTTAGATAAATCAGATAGGCATTACCAGGTTAGGGTTAAGGCTCCCAGAATGGCTTTACAATTGATTACAAACACAGCACTTATTAAGTCTTAACTGAGTAATTTGCAGCTTATTTCACTCCCAGCTAATTAAAATGTAATCAGGATTGTCTAGCAATGTGCATTCTGTCAGCAGTTTTTCTTCCAAAGAGAAATCACGCCAAGGAGACCACAAGAAAAGCCTTTCACGGGAACTGGCTTCATCTAAGCTGCTGCTTTAGCCACTGAAACTGGAAAACAAATAAATGACAGCACTGACAATTGAATAAAAAGAAAAAAAAAAGGTACTCTTTCTCCCTGGGAATAGGCAGCTCCGTTTCGTTTTCTGTTGTTTCAAATAATAGTGTGGCATCTTCTTAGGAGAGTGACTTTCAGGGTAGGACGCGGAGAGCTGGAGACCAGGGGCCTGGGGACCGGCCCTCTCCCGGCTCTGTCCAGGATGTCTGGGTAATTTCACCACAGGAGGTGAGCACTGGGTCTTCCATTCCCTGAAGACGCAGGAGGACTGCAGAGCGTGCCCATTTCTCTGACACCCACGAGATGCTGCTTCTATGACTTAGAACAAACTCAACTGCACACTCGCGAACGCGTCAGCTTCACCAGCCGGTTCAAAATCAACCCTGAGGGCTAAGGGGAATCACTTCCACACTCCACCCGTATTAATATAGCCTCCTCTGGCAGCTTAATTCCCAGGGCCCCTAGGGGAACCCTCCGCCCCTTGACCCAGCCCCGCCAGGAGGGGCGCCCAGTTTAAGAGCCAAGGGTTTGGCTTGCAGTTCCCGCCCAGTCACCACTTCTCCTTTTGGTCCCTCCAGAGTTTCCCTGAGGCGAAAAATTGGGAACTTGGAACAGGTGGGCACCTACGGAGAGAGGCGATAATGAGAAGGAGAGAAGGATGAGAGAGGTTCAAAGTAAGTGGAGGATTTCAGAGCTTGCGCGCTCGACAGGGCTGGTAGAGGCAGCAGCTGCACTCGCTCCCGCTGAGTCCGGAACCTGCTCTCGTGCGCCCACCAGCACCCGGAGCCTCCGCGCAAGTCCCGGGGGGATCCGCGCCACAGGGCAGAGTCCCGGCAACCCGCTGGAGCCAAGCGCGCGGCTCCCGGAGCCTCCCACACAAGCCCGCGCGCGCACACACACACTCCCCCATCCTCAAAAAACCTACGTACGCGGTTTGGGGGACGGTGCCCTCCGGACTCGTTGCAGAGTATCCAAATACGGCCCCGCCAAATCCCCTGTCCCCGGCACTTCTTCCCTGACGCTCTACGGTAGTCCAGAGCAAGACCTTGAATATTTGGGGTTCCGAATTGAGGCGCGCACAGCCACCCGCACCCGCAACACGCGTATACGCGCACCCTGGAACACGACTTGGCACAAGTCCCCCGGCTGGGGCTCCAAGGGTGAGCAGCGAGCTCTGAGCCCGCAGAGGGTAAAAACCATCGTTCAAAAGAGACAAAGTGTCGGCCGGCGGGCACCTGCAGGGCTGGGGCTCGAGGCGAGGTCCCCGGGCGCAGCCGGGCGCGCCTGCCGGACTCCCTGCCAGTGCCCCGGAGCGCCTGGGACTTTGCAGGAGTCGCCACCCGCCCAGAGTCTCGCGCACTCAATTCCCGGGAAACAGCCACATCCACACACCCACCCTCGGCATTCACGACTCTCCCTCCCCAAGGAAATCGCCTTTGGTTTCCCGCTGGGAAGGAGGGAGTTGGGACAAGATGCCTCGGGCTTCTTTTTCGTTTCGGGAGCCGGGAAGAGGCTGGAAAGGAGGGTTCCAGCACCTCGACTGTATAATCCACGCCCAGGGGAAGCCAGGATCAGCCCGCGGCGCTGGCCCAGAACTTTGCGCGCCCAGGCTGGGAGGCGCGCGCCCCGGTGCGCCCCCGCCGCGGCCGCAGCCCCAGAAATAACCCCGGGCGGGCGGGGGCCTCCCCGTACCTGGAAGTGCTGGAAGAAGGCGGAGATGCGAGTGATCTGCAGGCTCAGGCACCTGGAGGCGCAGCGGGCGCGCTGGACGCTCCCGGCAGACAGTGACTCGTCCAGCCGTCGCGCAGCAGCCGCGCCGGGGCCGGCCGCCAGGCAGACCCTGGAGGCCGCCAGCCAGAGGCAGAGGGTCAGGACAGCGCTGGGCACCCCAAGCACCATGGCTGCAGGTCGTGGGCGAGGGCGCCGGCCGTGGGCCGAGGCTCCCTGCTCCGCGCCGGGGCTGCACTGCTGGGGACCAGGCAGGCAGCGGCCGCGACTAAGCCGGAAAGTTCAATCCTTCAACTAATGCCGGACCCTCCCATCCGACCTCCCTCCCAGCTCGCCCTCGAGGGGTGGGGTGAGGGGGACAGGCGGCCGCACCATTGGCTGGAAGGCGTGTGAGTGACAGGGGGGCCGGGCGCAGGGCCCGTGGGCCGGTCTCGGGGACTGCGAGCTCGCGCGCTCCGGGGGAGGGCGACGCCGAGCGGCTTTCCACGCCGCGCGGGTCTCAAGGGGCCGGGCTCCCACGCAGGCGCCTTTCCCGTCCGCACCAACCGCTTCCTGCCCCTCCCACCTCCCCCCTCCGTCCAGGTAAACGTCAGGTGTGAGCAGGTCCAGGCCTGCCAGGAGGGTTGCTCCCTTCCGCAGGAGGGAAGAGGCCTCAGGACCCCCAGGGGCGTCCCACCTGCCTGGGGATTGACCCCGCGCCCCTAAGTGGCCTGTTTTCTCCCCGACCTCCCCTGGGTCCAGGCTACATATTCGAATTCCCTTTGCCCAGGTAGTGGAAAGAAGGGAAGAAAACTGAAATGGCAGTAAGGCAGACGGGGAGGGGAGCGTGGACATTTGCCCTACAGTGTCCCGAAGACATGTTGCTCCTTCTCTCCCTCCTGCATTTCTTCCGTCCTTCCCGCATCCCTCCCTCCCTCCCTTCCTTCCCGCACTGTTTTCCCTGGAGACAGTCTCAGCGCATAGCTAACCACCTTTAGGTCCACACGCCTTGTTTCCTCAGGTGTCTGTTTTTCTAGTAAGCCTTGCACGCCCCAAGTGAGTGATTTATTCTAAATAGACTTGCGTCTTAATCTCTTTCTTTCCCCACGATTTGCCCCGAGCCTCTTGACTCAGGCTTTTTAGCTTTGGAATGGCTGCTCCGGCCTGTCCTGTCGTTTTTTCTAGTGTTCTCTCAGCACAGGAATTCTCCCTCCCCAGCCAGGATCCTGCCGCAGAAAGACAGGAGGCATTGATAAGACACAACCTGTGACAAAACTGTACGCTCCCCTGAGCTCCATCAGGAAGTGACAGTCCCCGTGCAGGTAGGAGAACCCAGAGAAAAAAGACCCAGGCACACTCCTGTTCGAATGCACAACAACTGACTGCTGTTCCTTTGCTCTGACATCTCCAGTCTCCTACCCAATTGCGCTTTCACCTTCCAAAACATAGGATCTCCATAAGCACCCAGCTCAACACAGTCAGGGCATCTAGATGCACTCGCTCTACTCAGAGCTACATCAGAAGGCTCGAATCCTCTGCACAAAGCCAGTATAGTTGTTTTGCAATTTCCCACCCTTTCCCTTATTCTTATACACAGGTTCCACTCTGCAATTTTGAGATCTGCTTGTTAACAAATTGCAATGACAGCCATCTGCAGCTATCCTATTATGAGTGCTTTTCAAGTACATCATCTTACATGTGTATTTCTTCACATAGCTTAAATCAGGAAGGCCAGTCGAATTAATTGGCCTTGGTGTGTTTCTCAGCGAATTAGAAAATCAGGGTCATCTTGTTCAAAAGGTTCTATAGGCAGAGCCAGTTTCATGGACATACAAGCTGTACAATGGTACAGTCGCACTCTTAGAAGGCCTGTTCTGCTATCACCATCCTGAAACTCTTCACAATATTTGAACAAGTTTCCCTGAATTTTCATTTTGCATGAAGTCTCACAGATGATGTAGCTGACCCTACCTGTAGGTTTTAGCCATGACAATGCTTTACTTCAGGGGTCCCCAACCCCCAGGCCTTGGACCAGTACCTGTCAGTGGCCTGTTAGGAACTGGGCTAAGGCAGGCTGGGGAACATTACTGCCTGAGCTGCGCCTCAGGTCAGATCAGTGGCGACATTAGATTTTGATACGAGCTTCAATCCTATAGTGAACTATGCATGGGAGATATCTAGGTAGCGCACTCCTTATGAGAATCTAATGTCGATCTGAGATGGAACAATTTCATCCCCAAGCCATCACTCGCTACCCCCAGGTCCATGGAAAAACTGTCTTCCATGAAACCAGTCCCTGGTACCAAAAAGGTTGGGGCCACTCTTTACTTGGGCTGGAAACCTAGTAATTTTGGCATAAGCTTACACGACTTCAGTGATTTGTTTTAAAATTGCTCAGAATTGCAAATGGAAATATTTTTTAAGTATGTTAAACATAATATTAACGAAGAGTAAAGAAGCTAACTATAGTGACCCCAAGCAAGCATGTGTATAAAGCGAAGTGTCAATAAATAATGTCTGAATACAGAGATTGTCTTCTAAATGTTATCACTTTAATTTGTGAATTACTAAAAACATTTCCCAAAGCTTAGGGGATCCTGTCCTAGTGTTTCTTTGGAGTTTTTTTGTTTTGTTTTGTTTTGTTTTGTTTTGTTTTGTTTTGGGACGCAGTCTCATTCTGTCACCCAGGCTGGAGTGCAGTGGTATGATCCCCAGGGCCCGGTCTGTTTGGAGTTTTAAAGTTAAGCAAGGCTGGGCCTGGTGGCTCATGCCTGTAATCCCAACACTTTGGGAGGCTGAGGAGGGCAGATCACGAGGTAAGGAGATGGAGACCATCCCGGCTAACGTGGTGAAACCCGGTCTCTACTAAAAATACAAAAAAATTAGGCACGTCTGGTGGTGGGCGCCTGTAGTCCCAGCTACTCAGGAGGCTGAGGCAGGAGAATAGCCTGAACCCGGGAGGTGGAGCTTGCAGTGAGCCGAGATTGCACCACTGCACTCCAGCCTGGGCGACAGAGAGAGATTCCGTCTCAAAATTAAATAAATAAATGAATAAATTAATTAATTAATAAAGTTAAGCAAATACATGGTCTTGGTGAAGGCAAAGATATTATGTACACCGACATTTTCTTAGGTAACTTTGATTTATAATTTTACATGTCATATCATGAAATGCATATTCTAGAAAGTGAAATCACGAGGACAAGCATGCTGAGCTTTTAAAAACAGCCTTTGGATGTTCACAGGGGTTGCCATATTTTTTTTAAAAAGCAGTGTATGTGCTACTTACATGGGTTCCATAGCATATGAATTTCTATGAATAAATGCATTTTATAATAAACCACAAAGGAGAACAAACAGTTTAACAGAAAGCTTGGGTTTAAACATATAGGGCCACCTTATTATAAATATGTTAAAATAATATTTGCGGTTATATTGCTTTCTTCTTTTAGAATAATCACAGACATCCTCTGTGATTATGCAGGCCTTTCTCATATTATTTATTTTAATTGCAGTTTAAAGTAACTTTTTAAAAGAAAACATTCTAGTAAAGTCAGAATAACAGTCAAATTTCAGTGCTTTTTTGTTTTGTTTTCATTCTGCCCATGTATGCCTAACTTATTATGCAGCTCACCTTGCAAATTGAAACATGGAAGTTCTCTGACTTTTGACATACCCGGGTAAGCCACAACCTAAGTTAATGAAAGCCAACCCCGGGGAGGAGAAGCCTAAGAGTATGCTGAGGAATGATGGATAAAGGGGTAGGACCCTCGGGTGCAGCTAGTAAGACAGTGCTCAGTATGTCTTTCTCCAGATCTCCTTGACCCCCATGATCCAAATTTGTCTAGAGAAGAATTGAACCTCACATTGACTTTGGTTTGACTTAAATAGACAAGCACACATTTAACAAAGAGAGAAGAAAAGCACCTTAATTGTCTCTTACTTATATCTACGTGAACAACGATAGACTAAAATGTGTGGTTGTCTTGATCGGGTTGTGGAGGAATCACACAAAATAAAGCCCTCATTCACAGTTTCCAAAAGTTATTATTTTCCTTTTATTTTCTTTAGTTATTGGTTTCTTTTTCTTTTCCTTTTTTTTTTTTTTCTGTTTTTCTGCAGAGAACAAGAAGCACCTGAAATCTTTACTAAAGATAGACCCCAGGGCCCTAAATTCAGAGATTCTGAGTCAGTATGTCTGGGGTGGAGGGTTGAAATGTCAGCTTTTAAATAATACCCCAAGTGATTCCATACAAATTCAACCAGAGACTACACTTTGAGGGATAATTGATTTTAAAAGTACATCTGAGGCCCGGCTCGGTGGCTCATGCCTATAATTCCAGCACTTTGGGAGGCCAAGGCAGGAGGATCACTTGAGCTCAGGAGTTTGAGACCAGCCTGGGCAACAAGGGGAAACTCCATCTCTACAAAAAGTACAAAAATTAGCCAGGCATGGTGGTAGGTGGTAAACATCTGTGGTCCCAGCTACTCAGGAAGCCTAGGTGTGAGGACTGCTTGAGCCCAGGAGGTCGAGGCTGCAGTGCACCCAGATCATGCCATTGAATTCCAGCCTTGGTGACAGAGCCAGACGCTGTCTCAAAACAAAACAAAACAAAGTACATAACCATTAAAAATGGTACAAAAAATTTATTTAAACAGCCTCTATGATTTAATTTTGTTTAAAGTATCTTTTTTTAGATGTGTGTTTATGTGGATTGGACATACTAGTCTATTTCTTAACAATCAAATGGACGTATTTTTCCAATACATTTAGCCAAGACTCTCTTAGACTCATTGTTTTTTCAGACAGCAACTTGCCTTTTTTTCAAAGGTCTTCCAGCTACATTGGATAAGGATAAAGTTCGAAGGTAGCAAATATAATCTTTATCTGATATGCTTCCCTTAGAAAAGCAAAATGAGAACTCACTCGAAACCTGAAGAACAAATACTTAAATATGACAGCATTTAGGAGTCATGAACAAAACGACATCGTCCCTGGTTTTGGTTCTCAGGGGAAAGTAAAGAGGGGAAGAAAGTCACAGATGAGGTCTAGTTTCCTTTCTAATTGCCTCCACTTGATGATGCAAGAGTGTGCATCTTCCCTTACAGACTGCAGTTCACTTCAGGAAAAGCAACAGTGGCAAGATGAAGGAGTGTGCCCCGCAAGCTCACTGGCCGTGACCCATACTTCCACCCTCTCAGGCAACGTTCTCAGGCTTTGCTAGCTCAGCTCCGCTAAAGCCCTTCTTTAACCGCTTTCCTTCTCCTCCAGACTTAACTTCTCTTCTGCACAGCACAGGATACAATTAAGAACTGAATGGATAAATGTCAGATTTGCATCTTTCGCAATGTGGTTTCAGGCAAGAATGAGGTATACCTTTATGGTACTGTACCCATCTGTTCCCCAATGGCCAATCTAATGATTTTACAAATAACGATGATTGCTTTTGGCATAGGGTCTTTGAATATACACTCTAGTTTACACCAAAGACCACCGCATCCATTTACAGTCTTCTGCTTGCTTTTATCACCTCTCAAGGCTAGATACCCTATTTGGGGATAACTTTAGCATATAACACATTTTTTACCTTCAACGAGATTATAAAAATTTAGTTGTAGTCCATACAGTTTAAAGAGATCACTTTTATTAGTCATCCTGATGTTTCCTAAGATTTTACAAAGTTTCAGCATTGTGTTTCCTATTATTTTTGTGCACTGAAGACTATTTTAATGACATTTTGCAAAATATACGAAAAATTGTCAAATACTATGATTTCTAACTACCACTTCTCAAGAATTTGTCTCTTTGCCCTTTCACGTTGTCATGTCACCATCAATGAGTGTTAAATTTGTTT